AATGCTCCTTCGAGGGTTTCTTTACGGTTCTTTACCTCGTCGCTTTTCTTGAACCGTCAGGATAGCAAACATAGTTTAATTAGGATTAATGCTTCTTTGTCTCCTATAAATAGGGAAGGTATTCTTCCTTAATGAATAACAAGAAGTATTAACTAAACCCTAGCTCTCTTCACCTTGGGCGTACGGTTCTCCGCACGATTTTCTCTCTCTTCCTTCGTCCCCTTTTCTGGAGCTTGGAGACGCTCGAAGTCTTCTCTATTTCGATACAACTCATATCAACTGGTGCTTTCATTGAGTTATCATGTCAGCCGAAGTAACCCAGGGTGAGGAAGTTGTCGCACTCCGTCAATCAGTGGCGCACATGCAACGGGATATGGAATTGCGATTCTCTCGTTTAGAAGCCCTCCTTCTCGCAAGCAGTGGGTCGCCCAGCACGCACGACCAGCAAAAGGACAACCGCAGGGAGTGCGATACTCCTGCGAAACCAAACGCCGGGTATGTCCCTAAACCGAAATTGGAGCCTCCTAAATGCGACGGTTCCGATCCGCTACGTTAGCTTTACAAAGTGCAAGAGTACTTTCAGTTTTATGACACGCCACCGGAGGAGCGCTTACGATGTGTTGCTTTGATGTTAGAGGGCGCGGCCGCGGACTGGTTCCGTTGGCGTCGGACCAATAACTTATTGGCCGGCTGGGAGGACTTCGTCGACAAGTTCAAACTCCGTTTTGATTCACAACACTACGTGGATTATCTGGGTCAATTAGCAAAGCTGCGCCAGAGGGGTACCGTCATGGAGTATCAGGGTGAGTTCGAGAAATTATTACAACATGTCACCGGTGCCGGGGAGGATATATTGATCTCCTTGTTTCATGCCGGGCTGCAATCACACCTTCAACAGGAGATTGGCTTGCTCAAACCCGAGACTCTATCTGATTCTTTTGCCTTGGCCAGGGAACTGGAGGCCAAGCACACTGCCCTCGTTTCAGCCATCTCACAACGCCCATATGGGGGGAGAAGTTACACCCCATCTCGCGGAACGGGTCCGGGGTTACGGGCCGCACCCACCACACCCCTTCTACCGACACCTCCTAAGGCCCTAGCTGAAAGCAAGATGCCCAACACCATTCGACGTCTCACCCGGGCCGAGAGGCTTGAGAAGGATGCCAAGGGCCTTTGCTATAATTGTGATCAGAAGTGGTCCCGCACTCATAGCTGTGGGCGTTTTCTCTTGTTGTGTGACGACGACCCCGGTGACGTCGATGACCCAGGTCCTACGCCGGATGAACTCGTTGTGGAGGCCGATATCTCGAGTCTTAATAACTTCATGGGCCTCAAAGCCCCACGATCCCTACGGCTTCCGGGACGCATTGGTTCACAGGAGGTGCGTGTTCTCATTGATGGGGGTAGTACGCACAATTTCATCCACCCCGAGATGGTGACTCGCCTGCAGTTACCCGTCACGCAGGTCTCCCCATTCCGGGTTTATGTGGGGAACGGTGATTCCATGCCATGTACCGCTCAATGTTTGGCCGTCCAGCTCTTCTTGCAAGACACGACCTTTGTGGTGGACCTTTATATTCTCTCTATTCACGGACAAGATCTCGTCTTGGGGGTGCAATGGCTCCAGCAGCTCGGAAAAGTTGCCCAAGATTTCACCCAGTTAACTATGGAGTTCACATGGGATGGCAAGGTCATTACACTCCAGGGCAGCAGCCCCACACCGAAACCAGTGTCCCTGGCCATGTTCCAAACTATGCAATCGCATGAAGCCATTCTTGAATGTTATGAACTGCTTGCTCTGACGCCGGAGGATTCACCCACAGCCGCTGCAAAACCAAGTGAGATAGCTCTCTGCCCTGCCATCGCCGAAGTACTCCACAACTATGCTGAGGTTTTTACCATACCCCACGGTCTGCCACCCCACCGTACGGCGGATCATCGTATTTTCCTCCAACCAGGCAGTGCTCCCGTTAATGTCCGTCCGTACCGCTACCCACATTTTCAGAAAACGGAAATTGAAAGGCTTGTACAGGAGATGACCAAGGAGGGACTCATTCGCCCGAGTCGAAGCCCGTTCTCATCCCCAGTTTTGTTGGTCAAAAAGAAGGATGGGTCTTTCCGGTTTTGTGTGGACTACCGGGCGTTGAATGCCGTCACTGTACCAGATCACTTCCCAATTCCTACTGCCGACGAGCTTTTTGATGAGCTTGGGGCCGCGCGTCACTTCACCAAATTGGATTTACGCTCCGGCTATCACCAGATTCGCATGGCCGAAAAGGATATTTATAAAACGGCTTTCCGTACTCATGAAGGCCATTACGAATTCCTGGTTATGCCGTTCGGGTTAACCAATGCCCCGTCTACCTTTCAGGCTTGCATGAATAAGTTATTTTCCGGGGCCCTGCGAAAGTACGTCATCGTGTTTTTTGACGACATCTTAATCTACAGTCCATCCATAGACAGCCACAGACAACATCTGACGCAGGTCTTAGACTTGCTCCGTGCTAATCATTTTTTTGTTAAACAATCCAAATGCTCTTTTTGTCAGGATTCCATTGATTATTTGGGACATATTATCTCCAACGGGGAACTACGGGCTGATGGAGAGAAAATTGAAGCCATGGTCAATTGGCCGGAGCCGACGTCGTTGAAGCAATTGCGTGGGTTCTTGGGCCTCACCGGATACTACAGACGGTTTGTTCGCCAATACTCCCACCTCGCTGCACCCCTCACGGACATGTTAAAAAAGGATGCCTTCCAATGGACAGAGGGAGCCGCCACAGCGTTCGCACACCTCAAGCAGGCCATGGTGTCGGCCCCAGTGCTGCGACTTCCGGACTTTACCCTACTGTTTGTGGTGGAGACCGATGCATGCTCATCTGGAATCGGTGCCGTTCTCTTGCAAAAAGAACAACCAGTGGCCTACTTCAGCAAGAAACTCGGACCTCGAAAGCTAGCGGCCTCGACATACCATAAAGAACTCTTCGCCATCGTAGAGGCTGTGCAAAAGTGGCAACAATATCTCTTGGGCCGGGAATTTTTAGTCCGTACAGATCAGCGCAGCTTAAAGGATCTCCTCCAGCAGGTCATACAAACCCCAGACCAACAATATTATGTACGGAAGCTTATGGGCTTTCGGTTTCAGATTGAGTACAAGACCGGGGCTTCTAACAGGGTGGCGGACGCCCTATCCCGCCGTGATGATGATGTGGTACACGGCCACGCCTTGATGAACTTGTCTCATCCCGTTCCCGATTTGATGGACGCCATCCGCCGTGAAAATGGGACGCACGCAGACCTGCAGCAGTTGCACGACGCTGCCAAGGCTGGCGTATTACCGGCCCATTTCACTGTTGAAGATGGGTTACTTTATTACAAGCGCCGGTTATGCATCAGCCAGACGTCCCACTTGCGTGACAAGCTTATTCAGGAGTACCATGATACACCATTGGCAGGTCACCCTGGCGTCGCTCGTACCTTCCATCGCCTTTCCATGGGTTTTTACTGGAAAAATATGAGGGCCGATATTCAGCGCCACATTGCCGCATGCATTCCGTGTCAGACGACGAAATATTCCACTCAACCGCCCGCAGGTCTCTTACAACCTCTTCCGGTGCCTCTTCAGGTTTGGGATGATATTTCTATGGATTTCATTACGGGATTGCCGCTCTCTCGGGGGTATACAGTGATCTTGGTGGTGGTCGCACACCTCTTCGTCGATATTGTGGTTAAACTTCATGGTTTTCCGAAAACCATCGTGTCGGACCGCGACAAAGTTTTTACTAGCAATTTCTAGAAAGAGGCCTTAAAGCTCAGTGGCACCACCTTACACATGAGCACTGCTTTTCACCCCCAAACGGACGGACAGACGGAGGTCATGAACCGGGGGGTTGAGCAATACCTTCGCGCATTCACGTTGGATAAGCCAGGACGTTGGACAGTGTTACTCCCATGGGCTGAATATGCACTCAATACCAGTTATCATTCCGCTTTAAAAATGACTCCGTTTCAAGCTTTGTACGGCCGCGAACCACCGACGTTACTGCCCTACCACAGCGGGGAGTGTCGGGTTCCGGAGGTGGACGCACTGCTAACAGAACGGGCAGCACTTCTTCGCCGACTCCGCTTGCATTTGTTGGAGGCCCAGGACCGCATGCGTACGACCGCAAATCAGCAGCGGCGGGACGTGGAGTTTCACATCGGGGACTGGGTGTTGTTAAAACTTCAGCCCTATAGACAACATTCTGTCACCCGGCGTGTCAATCAGAAGCTCGCACGTCGTTTTTACGGACCATTTCAGATCATCGAACGCGTGGGGAACGTCGCTTATCGTCTACAGCTGCCTGCTACATCTAAAATTCATCCGGTCTTTCATGTGTCCTTGCTACGACCATATCGAGGGGAGAACTCGACACCGGTTCCAGTGGCCCTACCCGATGAATTGATAAATGGACAGGTGTTCTCCACTCCAGTGCGCATCCATGGCCGAAGGACTGTTTTGCTTGGTGATGTCCTCACGCCACAGATTTTGGTGGAATGGACCGAAGGGGGGAAGGATGACGCAACTTGGGAATCAGAAGACTTTATTCGACGGACGTTTCCTGACTTTCACCTTGCGGACAAGGTGGATTTTGAACGGGGAGGGAATGTTATGAATGAGCCTATGGAGCAAGAGCTGCCAACCGATGGTGGCAGTGGGTTGCACGAGGGATCAGAGACGGAGTTCCTACCCGAGGAAGGAAACGGATGGCATGAGGAGACTGAGACGGGTGGTTCAGAGACATGTGTTCGAAGGAGTTCTAGGCCGAGAAGACCTCCCGCATGGCAGGAGGATTATGCATCTTAAATTAATAATACTTTAATTATCTTTATTGTATTTTAGATTTTCATTAGGTGAGCAAATTAAATGCTCCTTCGAGGGTTTCTTTACGGTTC